GCTCTTCCTCCTCTCCCCGGCCCGGCCGGCGCCGCCTACTCTCTTAGAGGTTTCTGCGATGTCTCTAGCTAGACACATGGGGCACGCGAGTCAGATGGCTGGGCGTGGGACCCGAGGAAATGGTTATCCACGGTCTTAACGTGCACATCCTGTTTCTTCCTCAGAAAGTTAAACTTAGAGTTATCACAAGACACAGCAATTCCACCCCTCGGTGTGTATCCACAGCAATTGAAATCAGGTACTCAGGCAGGTGCTTGTACCTAAATGCTCATAACAGTCCTGGGCATCATAGCCAAAGTGGGATCAGGTCGACTTGTCCAAAATCTGAGTGGATGAACAGAAGATCCACCCATGGAATATTATTCAGCCACAAAGAGGAATGGAGGGAGAATCAGGCTACAACCGGTACAAACCTCCAGAACTCAGGTAAAGTGCAAGACAGCAGACACAAAAGGCCACATCTGGGGTGACTGCAGCATAAATGTAAAGAAAACAGAATAGACCCAGAGGTTGTGGGGAGGCAGAAGTGAGAAGTGATTGTTTAACTGGTATGGCATTTCATTTTGGAATAGAAAAGTATTTTTTAAAAAAGAAAGAAAGAAAAGTAATTTTGATCCAGAAAGGTGATGGCTACACAATGCTGTGTGTCCCTGAGCTGTGCCCCTTGAAGTGGCTTCAGGGGGAGTGAGGCAGGCCCTCGTGGGACGGAGGCTGAGGGCAGGTGCAGGTGAAGACAGACTTCCCGTCCAGGGTCGCAGTGGAGGGGAGCCTCGGGGGTGGAGAGGGGCACAGTCACTCCGCTGGACTTCAGCATGTGGGGGGACTCAGAGAAAGGAAATAGGTCAGGGAGGCCCAGGGCAGCAGGATGAGGACGAGATGGAGGCAGTCCACCGGTGGGCTGGAGGAACTGACTTCTCTCAGCAAGAAGTTCACTGAGAGCCACGAGGTGGCACAGGCCTGTCATCCTAGCATTCAGGAGGCTGAGGCAGGAGGATCGCTGAGATTCAAGTCCAGCCTGCACTTCACAGTGAAACCTTGCCCCTCCCCGAAAAATAAATAAATAAACAGGAAGAACACAGAGCCTGTCTTGAAGGTTGTTATGGGCCTCACTCCCTGGTCTGCATAGTCCATGCACTGATGCTGCCCATAAGAGGCCAGGACAGTGTAGTCCCAGGCCACCTGGGACAGGAGGAATTTCCCATCTCTGGCTACTCCCTCTGACCTCATTACCTTTCTCCTTAACCGTTGCAACAGCCTCCTTGGCTCCCTGCCACCCGCTTGTCCCCCGATATGGCTCGGGAATCTCCAGCCACTTGCTGCTGCCTGAGGTGGAGGCCGGCTTCGGGACGGTCTGCCACGCCAGCAGCCCCTGTCTGTAAGTGGCTGGTTGTGGCACCCACTGCCTTCAGGGTCCCTCTTCCACCCACCGCTGTCACAGCTCCTCCCTCACCACAGTGGCCACTGTCCCATTGCAGTGCTGTTGTCTCTGGGTAGCCCATCCCTGTCCACAGTGCCCCAGTGCCTTGGAGGGGCTCAGGAAATGCCACCCCAAATACACCACTTGGTGGCAGGTCCCTCTGACCTGAGGGCACTCGGGGACAGCCATGTTGGGAGCCTCTCTCTGAGCTCCACCGTGGGACCCTTCCTGGGAGTCCTGTCAGTGGGCGAAGCTGGCACAGATGGCAGAGTTCCACCTGTCACCTGTCCCCTGGGGGCTGCCCCCACATAGCTCTCCCTCCTGGGAAACGCTCCTTCCTGTGACAAGACGGCCTTCATTTGCCTCTGATTCTGCCCTCCTGTGGCTCTCACTGCACCTCTCCCAGGCACCCCCAGCTCAGTCGCCCATCCTTCCTGGAATCTCGAAGGACGTGGGCATCCTGCACATCCACAGTTAAACAGGCTTCCTCCTGTGCCTTTCTTCTATCCCAGCTTAACCCACAGCTCAGTCCAAGAAGCCCAGAGGGTAGAGGGAGCCATCTTCCCTTTCCCTGTGCCTCTGCCAGCCTGGCATGCGCCATGCTCACCTGAACCCACCATCTGCTGAATAGCATCTTCGTGGCTACTTTTAACCAGGAGGAAAGCATGAGCAGCCCTTGCCTAAACCCCTAAGTTCGCAACTTCCTGGTGACCTTTCTTCACCTGGATTCCCGGGTTAGTGAAACAGGACAAGTCGTGGGCGGGATTAGGAAGCCGTGCTGAGCTGAAGGATCTGTCACCACCATGGGCTGCACGAATGGGTCCCACCTTTCACCCCTCACAAGCCCAGAGCAGGGCCAGGCCTCAGCCTGAGGGAGAGGAGCTGGGCGTCACCGGGGAGACAGTCTGAGGATCAGGCCTGACAGGGAGCTCCTGTTGCTCACTGCCAGACGGCCTGGAACCCACATCCCAGGGAGGCTGCGGCCAGTGTAGGACCCATGTTCCCTGGCCCCCACCCCAGGGCAACAGTGGACTCTAGGACCCGGGC